ATCTTGGGGGAAGAAAAATAAAAAAAAATAAAAAACCACCACCAAAACCCCAGACCAAACCAAAACCAGAGATGGCTTTGTGCCTGGTGTGGCTAAAGAGCTGCATCCTGGTGACTCTTGAGCTTGCTCAGTGCTGCTGACAGGAGGAAAAGGCGCCAGCAGCAGGGAGCAGCCATGTTCCCCGAGCAGGGCCGGGGGAAGGCTCCCTCCGGGGAGTTCATACTCACCTGGCGGTTTCATGTAATATTGCTCAATATCGGACATGTCCGTATGCAGCGCACAATCGAGATAGTGGAGGATAACTTTTCTACTGCAGCAGGAAGGACTTGGTCACAACAAAGCATATTACTATGGAGATAAGGAAGAGAAATAAACGATACCTGTCAGAAAAGAGAATTTAGTGTTGATTTCGGAATACAAACTCGTTATAAAAAAAAAAAAACAAACAAAAAAACAAGCACAGACAAAAATATACATTTGCAGTACACACACAATTCACACGCTCAAGATTATCGTGTTAAGTGACGGCGTATCACGCCGCAGTAACCCCGGAGAAGTTTATGGGGTGTCTGGAGAGTGCCGGAGGGGAGGATGCCGCCATGCCATGGCGGCTCGCACCGAGCCCCCCCAGAGAGGGGCTGGTGGGGCCACCAGGGGCCAGGCACACCCCAGGCCCCGCTTTGCCTTCCCTGGCCAGGCCGAAACGCGGCCGGGGCAGAAAAGCCACGCTGCGGGCACGCCGCTCCGCAGCCACGCGTGTGTCACTGCGGCATTACTATCTCCATCACGGGAAGCACCGACTCCCGGGGAAGGCACCGTGCCCGCCTCGATGCCGGGGTGCTGCCGGAGACCTGGGGGGCTTCTGCGGACACCCCCGAGATGTTGGCCCCCTTCTGCATGGTCCCAGCCTCCCAGCGCTGCCGGCTGAGACCCCCTGCACCCCAACTGCCTGCTGGGGGGGTCCCCCTCCAGCACAAGGCCCTGTCCTCCCCCCCGGCTGGGGGGTGCAGCCCGCCTGCAACCACCAAGGGCAAGAGCAACCAGCCCAAAGCT